GGCAAGAGGAGAAGGGGACGACCGAGGATGAGATGGTTGGACAGTGTCATCGAAGCAACCAACATGAATTTGACACAACTCCGGGAGGCGGTGGAAGACAGGAGGGCCTGGCGTGCTCTGGTCCATGGGGTCACGAAGAGTCGGACACGACTAAACGACTGAACAAACAAAGTGACTACTACAGCATGTGTTGGTGGGCTACAGCATGGGGTACTTTAAAAGGGATTAGGCAGAGCAATGGATGGGAGTAATAGTGGCCCATTGTCATGAGGGATGGGGTGTCTATATGCGCCTTCCACTGCTGGAGGCAGTATCCCTCAGGATGACAGCTGCTAAGGAGGGTGCAAGCAGGAGAGTGCGGTTGTGCTCATGTCCCGTCTGTGGGTTTTCCCATCTGGGCATCTGACTGGCTACAGTGCACATAATGGACTGATAGGCTTTGGGTCTTTCTGATGGTTATTTTCCCCTGATGAAATGAACCAGCAGGGGGACTCTTCATGAAACAACCTGTCCCGGCTCTCCTCTCCAGCGATAGAACCACACTCTTTCACCAATTGTGTTGGTGTGTGTGCGAGCCGCTTCCCTCCTCATCCTCCACTCCCATCTAGCCGCCCCTCCCCCCTCGGTACGCTACCAATGAGGCTTCACTAGCGACCTCATTGGCCAAAGGCCGATCGGGGGGGGTGTCTCTGGAGTAGCCGGGATCGCTGAATCTCCAGCGAGTTCGGTGGGCTCCTCGTTCGCCCGACGTCACTTCCGGCTGGCGCTTACTGAAGGGAAAGCGGGGCTGAAAGGTTTAGCGAAGGCGGGGACTTTGGGCCACGGGCGAGCACGCCCCTCAAGGAGCGGCAGGAAGGACGAACGGGCGCAGAGAACAACGAGTGGCCCCTCCCCTCCCGGAGATCCCGGAGCTCGGGACGGGAGGGGGCTCTCTTCACCGCCTCGAGCCGCGTAGGTGAGGCCTCAGGGACCTCCCTGTGATTGGGCGATGACCGGCGGGGTATCTGCGGGGGGGGGGAGCGCGCGAGGAAAAGGCGAGGCGGGCGGTCGCGGTCGCGCTGCGTTGTGATTGGCTGCGGGGCGCGCGACGGGCGGTGGGAAGCGAGGCGATGTGCGTTGCGGTTGGCTAGCGGTGGGGCGCCCTGCGAGGCGAGCGGCCGCTCCGCGTTGGGCTCGAGTGGAGGCGCGCGCCTGCGAGGTCGCGGACGCGCGCCGTCGCTGGGCGATAGGCCAAGGAGTTGTCTGGCAGGCGGATTCTTCTGAGTGCGGCCTGGGCGTCCATAGCTTCTGTCTCTCTCTCTGTGCCTATAGAGGGAGGGGAGGCTCGTTGAGTGCTGGTGCGCATGCTCCATGGTGGTCCGAGGGGCGGTAGGCTTCCGTGACAAGACGTTGACGAGGCTGTCTGCGGAGGGGGAGCGCGAGGGTGCCGCCGCCACGCCCCCTTTTCTCTCCCTCTTTTGGGCTCCCGGCGTGGGCGGGGCATGGACTGGTGAGTGGCCGCCTGAGGCGGGGCATCTCCTGGCCCCACTGTGTTTGTGTGTGGAGCGGGGGGAAACCCTGTGAAAGGTGTGTGCATGGGGACGGTTGGCAGTCGAGAGGCCAGGATAGAGGCCTTCATTGTGTGGCTCATGGCCTCCTCCTTGAAGGGGAGGGAGCTCCAAAAGGAGCTGTTAAGCTCATTCTTCCCTTCGCTCCTTTTGGGTAAAGGGGAAAGTCCTTGTGCCTTTGCTAAGGATTTTCAAAGAGCAATATTTTACTGCCCTCAGGGTGCGTTTATGAGAGAACCCAGATTTGAGTGGGTGTGCGAGAAAGAGAGAGAGAGAGAGTTGCGGTCCAGCAGTATTGGAAGGGCTGCACTTTGACAAAGGTGCTGATCCATCTTCAGTAGGGTGATAGAAAGGCAGCATAGAAACAGCATTGGTAGATAATGTGTCTGTCATGTTCATTGCATGATACCCTTTGGTTGGATCTCTTTCAATGAGTTTTCTGCAAATATTCTCGGAATGACTTAAATTAGAACCAGAAATGATAGCAAGCAGCGGCGTTATGAGAGTGCCTGAGGCAGCCACATTCAAAGTTGTATACTTGTTCTCCAAATAATCATGTGGGGTTGGAAAAGAAAGACCCTTTACATACCTAAATTAGATTGTAGGGGTCTAAATGGTAAATAAAATAATCACATAATAATTGAAACGTTCTTTGTTAGAACCATATATGCCGCCTCTTCCTCTTGAGGGAAAGGGTGCCATTACAGTAACAAAAATAAAAACTAGGGTGACTTATACCAATTTTGAACAATGTAAATTAGCTAGTAGCTGTGTTAGTCTGTTGCAACATGAGAGAAACCAAATGTCTTGTAGCACATTTGAGGCTAACTCATTTTATTGATTTCATATATTTATATGCTGCTAACTCAGTGCAAAACATTAAGCAGTTTACAACACTATATTTATTTATTTATTTTATTTATTTATTTATAGAAGACATGCTTGGACACACAAGCTTGTGAAAAAATTAAAACCTAGTTAACCTCAAAGGTGCTGTTAAACTTCTGGTTTCAGTTTTGAACAAGTAAAGTTCAGCTTCATATGGAAAGAATGCAACTGATCTTTCTAACTTGCAACTATTGATTTACAACATACCATAGTTGCAATTTGCAGAATTTAAGAGTCACTATTTCAGAATGTCTTTGGCAATTCTGTGGTTATTAGAAGTACTTGGATGATAAAGCAAGATCCTTAAACTACAGTATACATGTCCTTGGAAGAAGTGTAACGGAGTATTCCTCCTTGAACACTAGAGGTGACTTAAAGGGACTAGATTGTTCATTGTGCCACTGGGTTCTCCTGAAGCAGAAATATCTAAGTCAAATAGATGGGAAAGTCAGATCTATTATGTACAGATAACTTATTTATGTTTCTCATTTAATAAAAAGTAATTTCATACAAATCTAACTACTCAATCTCAATTAGACATTATAATTGTAAAAATAAAGGAATTGTTACTTGCATATTAAATACTTAGCAATGCTATGCACTACTGTGATACTACACAAATACAGCCACATGTCAACATAAAATGTCAACAGAAGATACTGTCAACTTAGTGTAAAATTCTGATATACCGCTGGTGACACAGGAAACGTGAACTAGCTCAGTAGTTGGGCTTTACAGAAGTGATTCTTGGAGGTCTTTGACCTCCATTAGAAATGGAATGAAATAGGTTCTTTTTATCTAAAGCAGCAGGCCCCTTATGAAGATCCAAGGATCTTCTTTGATCCATTCACTACGTCTTACTATATGGCCACTCGGTTTCTGCTTAATAATGGAGGAGCATGTCTTAGTTTGATGGGTAATCTTGAATTTCCATATTATTTCAAAACTCTCATTGTAAAGTAAGGTAATAATTTTCCAGCTTTGGTCCATAATACATAAATACATAAATTAGGGGAAGGATTTCTATGATATTTCACATTTTCTCTGCAACCTACATTTGAACCCATAAGCAAGTTCAAACATGTTTATGAGTAATTTGGCCTTTGTCGCCGGATTACTCATAAACGTGTTCAAACCCACTCATAAGCTCAAACATAGGTTGCAGGGGGGAAATGACATGTCATAGAAATCCTCCCCCTAATTACAATAAATATATACTGAGCTGGAAGGAAAACTCTGTTATATGTGAAATGAATATTGCTAATTTATTTAGTGTTTTGTTTGTTTCTGGAGTGTTGTTGAATGTCTTTTAGTGTTACGTTTAATTCCACGACAAAGCTTTAATAACAAAACAATCCATGAAAGTCAGTTACTCTGCAGTTTTTCCCATCTGTTGGGCTGTCCTTTGCTTTTGACACAACCAGGCGAGGGTGTGTGTTTACAAAATCACAAAAGTGAACAAGATTCTGCTGTTTATGTATTTATATATTTTACAACCAAAATAGCAGCATAAATCTAGTGCAAGGTGTTAGAGCTAAAAAATGACATTGACCAGAGTCCTCTTGCATTACTAGGCAGATAATATTTTGGAAGCAAATCACCCCAAGTTAAGAAATCATCCTAGGCATTGTCAGTTGCACTCTGAGTCATTCAACTCATTATGCAACTGATAATGTCTACAGTTGTTTCTTAACTTATGGCAATTATGTCTTTTCTTCTATCCCAGCATAACTAGGTGAGAGGATTTTGGCCAGCATCAGGGCTGCAGTTGTGTATACACACATGGGAGTAAATCCTATTGAACTTGATATTTTGTGTAGACATGAATAGGATTGTGCTGCAAATGGCTATTTTGATCATGCAAGTAGCCCAGTATGAGTTACCTTGTACACCTTTGTTGATCACAGTGTATATTGCTGCATCAGCCTTCCTGAAAATAGAGTCTTTGGTCAAGCATATCAGTGAAGCTTTTGGCAGTGTATTGGACAAAGAACCAAAGCTGAATAATCCTATAGGAAAATCCATAAACAAAGAAACCATTTTATCCAAAGCCTGGCCAAGCTTGAGGTGGAAAGAAGGAAGAAGTGCTGGTTTTGTCCCTGCAAATCAAATCTTTTAAATCTTATAATTTCCCTCCTATTTGGTTGCAACATAAGGGCAGTTATATATGCCACCTCCAGAGCTATCATATTTTTTTTCCAGATTGTGGAATGTGTGTTGAGGAAATGAGAAGGCTTTGGGATTTGAGGGACCTCCTGCTCCTCTCACATGAGACCCTTGGAACACTTTTTCATTCATAAAAAAGCCATGAAAGGGTTTTGACTGAGAAGGTGCTTGCAAGATTTGATGTCCTCTAAAGTTAAATGGCTTTCTTCCATGGATGCAGGATTGCAGCCTAAGCCAGTTTTTTTAGAATGACAATAATAAGTTCTAAATGACAAAATATAGCAGTGTCTAAATGACAAGGAATACACATATTCTTTGAAATTGCACCTTAATTACTAATTATGATTTTAAATAGAACAACTTACTCATGCTTATTGATCTTAGGAGTCTACTGTTGTTGTTGTTTAGTCATTAAGTCATGTCAAACTCTTTGTGACCCCATGGACCAGAGCATGCCAGGTCCTCCTGTCTTCCACTGCCTCCTGGAGCTTGGTCAAAGGAATCTACTACTGCTACATAAACAGCATCCTTTCCAATTGCTAATGTTGCCATACAGATGCATATCCATTACATTCATTCATTCATTCAATTTTTATCCTGGTCCCATTAGTGTCACAGCACTACTCTGGGCGGGTTACAACTCGTAAAATAGAAAACAAAAATAAAAATATTAAAACCGATAACAATAAGCCTAAAAAAAAACAGATGTCACTGACTAATCTCAGAGCAGATGGAGAAAATAAAACCGATAACAATAAGCCTAAAAAAACCAGATGGCACTGACTAATCTCAGAGCAGATGGAGAAAAAGAGGGGAGGGGAGAGGAAAAAAATGAGGGGGAAGGTGGTCTGTTGGGGTCAGTGTGGAAAGCCTCCTGAAAAGCAGTGTCTTTAATTGCTTCCTGAAAGTCCACCGAGAGGAGGCTAGGCGGAGCTTCTCCAGAAGCTGGCTCCATAAAGTTGGTTCCACAGCAAAGAAGGCCCTACCTCTTGTAGAGGATTTATGGGCCTCCCTCAGGGTGGCCACCCAGAGGGGCCTCGACTGAGTTATCTGTAGATCTATTTTTGATCCAGCAAATGCATGTTTGTACATTACTAAAATATAAACAAAAAGGTACTATTCACAAATAAGACTTGGTGAACATATGCTGTGTAAGAACCAACTTAAAATGACTGATATGAAGGAAATAAACCAAGAGGGTACCATATTCAATGCTAATTTTAAATTATTTTTCTTGATAAAGTATCTGTAGAATAGACAGAACAATAGAAGTCATTAGGAAAAGGCAAAAAACAAAAACACTCTACTTGAGACATCTGTCAAGAGTGATCCTTCAAGGCTTCTGACTGGTTTGTCAGAGGAAAGACAAACCAAGAGTTTTTAGTTGGGAGATAACACTAAAGTTTAATGCTAAAACAAACCAGGGATGGAGAGTTGTTTATCTTCTGCTAATAGCAGGACCCTGTGGGGCTGATTAAGTAATGTGCCTCAGTATACAGACTTGATTAGGGTTAGCAAGAGAGGTTTTTAAAAAAATCTGATTTCTCATGTTATGCTTTTCAACCTGTTTGTAAATGACCTGAAGACAGGGATAAGCAGTGTTAAAAAAAATCTGATTTCTCATGATATGCTTTTCAACCTGTTTGTAAATGACCCGAAGACACAGGGATAAGCAGTGAGGTAGCCAAGTTTGCAGATGACATGAAACTTTTCTGGGTAGTGAAGACCAGAAGGGATTGTGAAGAGCTCCAGAAGGATCTCTCCAAACTGGGACAAAATAGCAAATGCTTTTCAGTATAAGAAAATGTAAAATAATGCACATCGGGGCAAAAAAAAATATCAAAATGTAGTTATCAGCTGATGGGTTCTGAGTTGTCCATGGTGGATCAGGAAAGAGATCTTGGTGTGCTATTGGATAGCTCGATGAAAGTGTCAACCCATTGTGCCCCGGCAGTGAAGAAGGCCAATTCCATGCTAGGCATCATTAAAAAGGGTTTTGAAAATAAAATAGTCAGCATTATAATGCCATGGTAGAAAACGCTGGTAAGGCTGCACGTGGAGTATTGCATACAGTTCTGGTCACTCCACTTCAAAAAAGACATAGTGGAACTGAAAAAGGTGCAGAATGACTGTGCTGCGGCACCTCCTTTATGAGGAAAGGCTACAATGTTTGGGGTTTTTTGGGGAAAGAAAAGGTGCCCGAGGGAGGACATGATTAAGATGTATAAAATTATGCAGGAGATGGATAAAGTGGATAGAGGGAAGCTCTCTTCCTTCTCATGCAATACCAGAACCAGGGGACATCCACTCAAATTGAGTGTTGTGAGAGTGAGAACAAACAAACAAAAAATACCCAGTGTGTTGTTAGTCTGTGGAACTCCTTGCCACAGCATGTGGTGATGGCATCTGGCCTAGATGCCTTTAAAAGGGGCTTGGATAGATTTCTGGAGGAAATGTCCATTGCAGGTTACAAGCCATGATGGGGATGTATAATCTCCAGGCTTAAAATGAAGGTACCTCAAAATGCCAGATGCAGGGGTGTGTGTTGATATTTCTGTTATTTTATTGGTAAATATATAAGATAGTGACATTTTCCTTATCCTCTTTAAACCCTGCCCAAACATTTGGCTGTCGTTTCTTAGGTCCTGCTTTGATTTGGTTTTAGTCTATGTGAATGTGTATGTTCTCTTTTTCTCATGCTAGTTTATCTGAATTGTGTCAGTTATACACAGAGTAAGTTTTAGTTCACAAATAACTGCACAAAACAATTAAAGCAGATGTTAATAGCAGAAAAACTCAGGCCTCTCTGTCCACAGTTAGAATTAATTCTTTCTGAAAGGACCACTGTTTCCAAATATTAATGCAGCTTTGTTGAAAAAACTTAAAAATGGTTTGAAGTATGGCAGGATTAAGAGGGGCTACAGTATCTCCACATTCTAGTGTGGCCACAATAACTGCAAGATCATGCACATTTCACATGCTTAGGTCTCAAGCCTATGTAAGCACTGCATTCGTGTTTTTACAGACTCAGATAGGAAACCACGTTGTGGTCTTCCCATATTCTACTACTATTTGTTGACATGGTATGATTTTAAAAAGGTTTAGAAATGTTTGATCCTTGGTTGTTTTTACATTGCATTTTCTCTGTTTCTAGGATCATGGATTTTCCAGGGCACTTTGAGCAAATTTTCCAGCAGTTGAACTATCAACGACTTCATGGCCAACTCTGTGACTGCATCATTGTGGTGGGGAATAGGCACTTCAAAGCACACCGTTCAGTCTTGGCGGCATGCAGCACGCACTTCCGAGCCCTTTTCACAGTAGCAGAAGGGGATCAGACCATGAACATGATTCAGTTGGACAGTGAGGTTGTTACAGCGGAAGCTTTTGCAGCTCTCATTGACATGATGTACACTTCCACACTCATGCTCGGAGAGAGCAATGTTATGGATGTCTTACTAGCAGCTTCTCACCTCCATTTGAACTCTGTGGTTAAAGCATGCAAACACTATCTTACTACAAGGACTCTGCCAATGTCTCCTCCCAGCGATCGAGTTCAAGAGCAGAATGCACGCATGCAACGGTCCTTCATGTTACAGCAGCTTGGGTTAAGTATAGTGAGCTCTGCATTAAATTCCACCCAAAACACAGAAGAACAGACTAATTCTATGAGCACATCAATCAGAAGTAACATTGAACAAAGGAGTGCTTTTCCAATACGCCGTCTCCATAAACGCAAGCAGACTTCTGAAGAAAGGGCTAGGCAGCGCGTTAGGCCTACCATAGATGATTCTATTATGTCTGACGTTACCGCAGAGGGTGCACAGACTGTCGTTCATTCACGAGATGAATTTTTTTCACCAGATTCTCTTAAAATTGTGGACAATTCTAAGCCTGATGGGGTGGTGGACAACCAAGAAGACAGTACTCTCATGTTTGATCAGTCCTTCAGTGCCCAAGAAGATGCTCAAGTGCCCAGCCAGTCTGACAATAGTGGAGCAAATATTTCCCAGATTTCTGTGGCATCCCATGCAACTCAAGTTGAAACAAGCTTTGATCCAGAAACTGGTTCCCAGAAAGGCAGCTTTCCATGTGAGAATTCAGAGGTTGGACTAAATGAGAAAGAACATATGAGGGTCATTGTGAAATCGGAGCCTCTCAGTTCCCCAGAGCCCCAGGACGAAGTGAGCGACGTGACTTCCCAAGCTGAGGGAAGTGAGTCGGTGGAGGTCGAAGGGGGAGGAGTCACTGCTGAAAAAATAGAACTGAGTCCTGAGAGCAGCGACCGCAGCTTCTCTGACCCACAGTCAAGCACTGACAGGGTGGGGGACATTCACATCATGGAGGTACCGAATAACCTGGAGCATAAATCCACGTTTAGTATTTCAAATTTTCTGAACAAGAGCAGAGCCAGTAGTTTTGGTGCTGGCCAGAACAGCGAGGACAACATTCCAAATACAACCAGTGATTGCAGAATGGATAATGATGCTTCTTATTTAATTAGCCCAGAATCTGGGCCTGCTAATGGTCATTCCTCGGCTACTGTATCACATGTCGAAAATCCATTCAACGAGAGCGCAGACTCTCATTTTGTTAGGCCTATGCAAGATGTAATGGGTCTTCCTTGCGTACAGACGTCTGGCTACCGGGCTTCTGAACAGTTTGGGATGGATTTCCCAAGATCTGGCTTAGGGTTGCATTCTTTGTCAAGGGCAGTCATGAACTCAAGAGGCGGTGCCAACAGCTTTCCTGGATATCGGCGCATAGCTCCCAAAATGCCTGTCGTGACCTCTGTTCGGAGCTCTCAAATACCAGACAGTGCTCCTAATTCTCAGCTGCTAATGAATGGGGGCACTGCCTCTTTTGAAAATGGGCATTCGTCCCAGACTGGCCCACCCCAACTAACCAGAGCATCTGCTGATGTCCTTTCAAAATGTAAGAAAGCCTTATCTGAACATAATGTCCTTGTAGTAGAAGGTGCTCGCAAGTACGCCTGCAAAATTTGCTGCAAGACTTTTTTGACCTTAACAGACTGCAAGAAGCACATCCGTGTGCATACGGGGGAGAAGCCATACGCCTGTTTGAAATGTGGCAAGAGGTTTAGTCAGTCAAGTCATTTGTATAAACATTCCAAAACGACTTGTCTACGCTGGCAGAGCAGCAATCTACCCAGCACTTTGCTGTAACTCTTCCCTGGGCCCAAATACCAATAGTTTTTTTTAATAATGCATGGAACACATGAGGTGAACAGTTACTGTGTGATTATGCCACACACACACAAAAAGGCTTCTTTTTAATACCTGTACCTTACCTACCTCACAGGGGTGTTGTGAGGCTTAAATAACTTTTTAAAAGTGGTTTGGAATTCTCCAGTTCTTTTATGAAGGTAGTACTAAGGCTGCAGCCCAAGAGATACTTGAGAATGAGCCCTATTGAATTCTGTGGGATTTGTTTCCTGGTAATCATGTGTGGAGTTGGGCTGTGTGTAACATACATGGATATGATCCTCAGTTATCTTTAGTTCTTTCTGAGTAGGAGGAGGGCTGAAAGAGAAAAAAAAAGCTAATTATGTGGCTAATCCATAATTATCTAGCACATTTCAAGAATGAGGAGTTGAAGTATAAACTTTTTAATGATTTTTTTAAAAAAAAGATGTGAAAGCTTTTATTGTAATATAGGTTGCCATATGGAGTATGTGAACAACGTAACTAAGAGCTCTTTATTGTGAAAGACTGAATATCTTGAAAATGAAACCACCTTTGCACCTCAAAGTGCTTTTCAAGTGTGTTATAGATTAACATAGTTTTAGGGATTCTGAATGTATTTTGGTTGTTTTGCAGTAACATACAATGTGTAACGAAGGTGCTTACCTTGAGTCCAATGCAAGTAACTTTTAGACTGTGTGATATATGTAGGTGTGTATATATACTTTTGAATACAGCAACCGCTCCTAGATGTTTCATAGTTTCCTTTTTGTAAAATCTTGTACTGAAAAGTGAAGTGTGTTCATGTGTTATGCTTGGTAGTGTTTTTAATCAATTTGTATTTTACGTGTTAAAACTTAACCTTAAGTCTTAAATAATTTTGTCTACTGTTGTTCTTTATAGTTTGTTTGCTTTCACAGTTGAAGGCAGCCTTATTACTGTTTCCCAACATCATCTGAATTTATTGTCAGTAACATTATTTTGAGATTATTCTTTTGTGGCTTTAAATGTGTATTTTAACATTTCTAGGTACTGATGTATTAAAGTATAGACCTCAATTCTTATACACATTTAGGCTTGGTTATATATATATAGTTTTATACAAGTCGGTGTGTCTTCCCCACTTTGGAAATGACTACTTGAATAACTTTCTGTGTGTAGCCTTAATATTTCAGCTGAAGCCGTGATTTTTAAGATTTTTCCCTCTTTAGTATCCCTGCCCTTAATGCTGTTTTGTCATTAAAAAAAATAAGGCCAAGTGTTCTGAAGCAGAATGTACAGTCTTGAGAATGTTTCAGTGCTTACAGTTATTAATAATGTGGTCTTGCGTGAGTCTGCTGTGCACAATCAAGACTAAAAGGAACATAACAGGACTATATTGTGTGATGCTTAGCATACAGTTGGGTGTCTATTTGGCTTCCACTGCTTTTATTTGTAGCTGTACTTCTGTAGGGGAGTTACTGAGCTATTAACATTCTAAGATGGTGGTCATTTTAGTATACCTGGTTTGAAGTTAGGCAAGACATGGTATATAGGGCTTTAGAAAAGGCTGTTATAGGGCCGGGTCCATGGGGTCACGGAGAATTGGACACGACGGAACGACTAAACAACAAAAAGGAGAGGAAGTAGGAAAAATTGAGTTCTAAGTTGAGAAGGAACTTTGGTAGTTGCCCCCCACCCCAAAAAGATAGGCCAAGCAGAGAGAAGGAACACATGCACACACATATACGAGGAGGTGCTGATAAATATTGAGCCTTTCCCAGAAAAAAATGAGCTAGGAAGCTGTAACTGCCACACCATTCTACATATTCCCCCAGGAAGTCAATGCACTTGCAACACTCCAGAACACTCCCAAATTGTTGTCTCTTTAGGTGTTTTTTTGAGTTTGGGGAACAGATAATAGAAGGAGCCAGGTCAGGAGAATAGGATGGATGGGGCATCACTTGAAAGCCTAAGGAAGTCAGTTTTGTCATTGTTTCACCTGCAGTGTGTGACGAGGCGTTTTCATGCAACAGGATGACACCTTTGGAGAGTTTTCCTTGATGTTTTTCCTTGATGTTTTGCCTCAATTTCGTCAATAAAGCACAGTATTATTTTGCATTGATGGTTGAACCCTGTTGGAGGTAGTCCACCAGCAGAACTCCCTTCTTATCCCAAAAAACTGTTGCCATTTGTTTATGCATCGACCTTTGCACTCAGAACTTCTTTGGCCTGGGGGAACTACTGTGCCTCCATTCCTTAAACCGTTTCTTTGTCTCAGGATCATAACAGTAGATCCATGTCTTATTACCGGTTACCAGTTTGCCCAGGAAATCTGACTCATTTCTTGCAAAGTGTTCCAAAACAGCCATCGATGACTCCACACATTTCGTCTTTTATTCGGTTGTCAAAAGTTTGGGGATCCACTTTGCTGCCAGCTTTCTCATTTCCAAGTTGTGGATAATGGCACCAACTCACTCACGTGATATTCTCAGATATATAACAATACTTTCGGCTGATATTTGACAGTTCTCCATGGTCATGTCATGGATGGCTTTTACATTGGCAGACAGAAACAGGCCTTCCACTGGGTTTCACTTTCAACACCGAAATGGCCACTTTTAAAATTGACAACCCAACATTTAATTGTTGCATATGAAGGGCCACGGTCACCCATAATTTGTGACATTTCATCATGGATCTGCTTTGCACCTTTCCCTTGAAGAAACAGGAACTTGATTATGGTCCTTTGCTCTTCCACAGTGAACTTTTCTGGAGGTGCTGCCATGTTCACTTTGGAGCTGAACATGAAAGATAAGTTAAAATCATAGGTAGTTGATTTTGGCACCATTGAATACAGACAAATTGGCCAATACACCCTGCAATTTATAGCTTCCTAGCTCAATTTTTTCTGGGAAAGGCTCAATACAAGAGCTGACACAGTAAAGATTTTGTAATATGCAGGATGTTTATGCAATCCTTATCTCCTTAACTGACAGATCACAGAATGGGCCAAGTCATTAAAATTATAGATCTGACACCTAGAATTACTACGGTACAAAAAGTGATCCCAAGGCATGGATTCCATCAAATCTTGGCAATTAAAAAAAAATGAAACCATGTTGATCCAAAGAAATAAAAATCTTAGTGGAGCAATACCTTTATTAAGATCACTTCAATGGGCAAAACAGACAAGCTTTCAATTTCTCTAGAATTCTTCATTGTTTTGGATCAGTGGTTCCCACCCCTGGGTAACCCAGGTGTTCTTGGACTGCAACTTCCAAAAACCCTGGCTAGCACAGCTGGTGGTGAAGGCTTCTGGGAACTGAAGTCTAAGAACATCTGTGTTACCCAGTGTGGGGAACCACTGTTTTAGATGTTTGAAACTATGAGGAAAGGAGAAGGCAACATGGATACTCTAAATACTTGGGTAGGTGTTTAGTTAGGATTGGGTTAGGCCTAGTTTGAAAGGGAGTTGATGAATCTGAGAGCCATGCAAGTTATATGTTCCTGTTGTCTTTGTGTTTTCAGGTAGGGGAAGCTATCTCCTCCTTTCCAGGAGGGGAGTACATTGCAGAAGTCATCACTCTTTCAATATATCTTTGCAGCCACTGATTTCTATGATTGGTTGGCAGGGATTTGTTTCTTGTTCTTCATTCCGTGTAATAATGATGTGCCATCATGTGCTGTCTGGAAGTGGGGTGTCTGTGGAGAATCCTGCCTGTGTAAAGGGGACCCTTTCAATTACATTGCATCATTTTTATTCAGACTATATGAAAAAGCACAAGGGAAGAAGATGAAAGCTGCAGTACCCAGAACACTTCCTCCAAAAGGCATGTTCCTGAGCCCCCATAGCTTTGAATAGGATTCACAGTTATGGTATCTATTATTGGTAATTGTGGCGACCCATAGTTTTCAGTGGTATTCTGGTACAACAGAAAGTTATTGGCAGCAGAATGTTTATAGATCTGTATCTGTGAGAGGATATCCTAATAACAAGATGCTGAGTATTGCTGACTGAAGGAGTGAAGGAGAAATCATGGCCACCAGTGAGTCTTCTCCACATTATCCAAACATCACTGAACCAGGAAGTGAATATGATGCTACTGTAAGTGGACTTCACTGCAGGTTTGTTAATTGGTAAGGTTTTGAATCCAAGGGGAGGCATGTATCTTATAAGTCTTAAGCTTACTTTTGGGTTTAAGAGTTCTACATAAGTTTTTCTATCTCAGTCATTATACTAAACAAGGATCTTTGTTTCTTGCAAAATCTGTAATAATGTGCCATCAAATCAGTGCACATTGTGGCAACCCTCCCAAGGTTTTCTGTGCATAAAGCCATGAAGTGATTCACCAGTTCCTGTTTGGTGGCACTTTGCGACCGTGCAGCTTGTCGGAGATTGTAAATGTATGTGTGTGTGTGGGGGGGGGGACGACAAAATACTACCAGCCAGATACATTTTGGGGGATATTTTGGCTGGCCATTCTGAGAGGCACAGTGGGAAATCAAACCCCCTAGTGGCTAGCCCCTGCCTTGGCTGCCAGATGCTCCAACCCAATAAGCTATACGAGCTCTTGGACTTTGGAATGTTGCTCTGAAAAACAGTATGAGCTGAAACTGTTTGGCATGAAAGTTAGTTTATTTGAAACATTATTTGCATCATTTAGTAGCTACTGGGGCAAAAATATTCCAGAAATGTTAAGGCAGTCCACACTGACTGGTGTTGCTTCTCACAGCCTGACTTCACTTGCCATGCTTTCTCCTTCCAAGCCAGACAGAAGATTGTTGGCAGCCAACACTGACATCTTATTCCTTGTTGCATAGGTGGCGCTTCCAATGTGTGGCAAAATTACTGTTTAATACATAAAAAAAGAGAGAAATTATCTCAGGAAAAGCTAGCCAGTACACTTTCTAAATCGTTAGTCCCACTAGTATCATTGCACTGTTCTATTGTCAGCCCATGCTGTTAATTGACTAATGAAAACACTTGCTCAGGCAAACCCGTTCCTTCTATGATCCATTTCTAGGGCCTTTGTTACCCTGGTGTCCAAATATAAAGCCCCTCCCCTTCTGGAAGGATGACACAATGCACAGCAGTCTGGCTGCAGCCTGGAGATGCAGAGAAGCTCCCAGTGGTCAAGATGTGCTTAGCTACGTGCCTTTGTGTCCCAATGCTTTAAGCCTCCACATGTGATGCTTTGACAGTGTGGTAGAGTAAAACTGAATGAGCAGCCACCAGTGTCATGGCAGAGAGAGTGCAGGAAGGCATATGTAAATTAGCCAAGTTCTGGAGCACCTTGACTTAACAGCATGAGCTCTTGTAGACTTCAGCTTGTTTCACCTGAAAAAAGTGGGCTAACGTCCATAAAAACAAATGCCAAATGAAACTTGATTGTCTTTAATGTGCTACAGGGCTCTGATGCAGAGAGTTTCCCAGGGAGGGGTCAAGAAATGTCTGCAAATTAAGTCAACTTACCGCAGTTCTTCAGAGAAAGTAATGGATTGTCTATAGGTAGAGGTTCTGGGGTTGTAACATCTAGCCCATCAGCAGCAATATGGCCATTGACTAAAGCTTCGTAAAGGTCATCTTGATTGACCACAGCACCTCTTATAAAACAAATCAGAAAATTAGGGATAGGGTGTATGCATATGTGTATGTAAAAAGACCTGACGTTTAAAACAAGAAGATAAAAAATAACTAGTTTTTTTCCTCATTCAATTCAGATCTTGCCAGAATGGCCTGTAGTACTAACAGGCACATCAGTATATATTTTCTGGTAACACAGGGACTTAAGGTGCAGGGAAGACAGATCATGTGGGATCATCCCTGTCCACTGAATGAGGGACGCCGGCACAGACAGAAATTATGCGAGGAGTTCCATGGAGTTCCTTTCTTCTCCAACTTTGGGCAAGAAAGGCAGAAAGTTATTTGAAATTGTTACTGTTGCAATGGAAGACAAGTAAAATACTACTGGACTTTTTGAATGGAGCCCTCTGATCACAGAACTTTACAGTGGTGCCTCGTTTAACGACGTTAATTCGTTCCAGCGAAATCACTGTAGAGCGAAAACGTCGTAAAGTGAAATAAAAAAGCCCATTGAAATGCATTGAAAACCGTTCAATGCATTCCAATGGGCTAAAAACTCACTGTCCAGCAAAGATCCTCCATGGGGCGGTCATTTTCAGGTGCCTGTAAAGCGAAAAATAGCTTCTAAACACAGTGGGGAGACATTTTGTATATCCGGCGGCCATTTTGAAACCCGATAATCAGCTGTTTTTGATCGTCGTAAAGTGAAAATCAGTTCCCAAAGCAGGGAACCGATCATTGAAAGTGGAAAAACCCCATTCAAACCATCGTTTTGCGGTTGCAAAAGCGATCGCAAAAACATCGTTGTCAAGTGGATTCGTTGTTAAACAGGGTAATCGTAAAGCGGGGCATGACTGTAATTCCTTCTAAAAGGCAGTGGTTTCTAATTAAGCCATTTCACACATTTCAGCGGTCAGTTGGCAAATCCAGAGCGTGCATATTTCAAACTGACAGCAAAAACTTGGTTTGTACTGAATGATCCCATTGGTGCCGGCCTTCAGGTAAATGGTGCCCTGCCAGAACAACTAGTAAACTTCTCAACCTCCAGACCCTAATTTCACATGCTACTGGAAGGGGTAGGCCGTTGCCACACTAGTTGAGTAACGCACAAGCAGGAAGTAACAGAGTTAAAACATTCTGTTGACTTCCTAATTACCGGTACATCAAGACACTGAAAAGTTGATGGTCAAAATATGCTTAACAAGAGGGCAGTTTCTGGAACGAGTGGTGGAACATACAGCTCTCCAGGCACTTCGGACTCCACATTCAGAAGTGCAATTTAATACAGGATTATGGAATTTTTCATCCAAAATATCTGTGGAAGAGCGAAAGGTTTCTCCTCTCTTCAAATAATATAAGCTCATGGGAGATAGTATATTATGCTCAAATGACCCCTGAATTCAGCAGGTTGTCTTAGGCAAGCTACTGTTCCTCCACCATACAGCAATAAGAACGCAGCAACATGGATTTTTGAGACTTGACCCCTCAATCACTATGCATGTACTATTTTTTATATTTGCTATGACTACTTTAGAAAGGATATTAAAGTGAGGTAGGCATAGGGTTAGGCAACAGGTCACCTGTTGACACAAGCATTATGCTCTAGGGACCCACAACATCTGAATTGTTTGGAGTATTCCAAATGGTTGTAACTGAGGTGTTCTTTTAAAATTATAAGATAATGAAGTCTGAAGTGGCCTATAAGGCCATCAAGTCCTACCTCCTGCTCAATGCAAGAATCTAAATCAATGTATGTATGAGTGGTGATTGTTTAATTTCCTCTTGAAAATTGGTGGATGACTTATGTAACACAATTTTGAATAGAGCAGCCTCAGAGAGGGATATGCACCCTTTCTGGGGCCGCCGCACAATATATACATATACATAACAGTTGGAAGAAAATTTATTGGGTGTTTTGTGCTCATGGTAGTTGGATATGACACAAATCTAGGGTAACCGCTTTCTTGAAATCAGGTTTATTTATACTCTGCAGTTACTTTGATCAAGCTATGGGAAAAAGCATAAACCTGGAAAGAGCCCTAAACATCACTTGAAAAGTCACTTTTAAAAAGTAATTTATGACATTCTGTTATCATCAACAGAACCATGTGACTGTTTTTTTTTTTGCACATCTGTTGGAAGCCCATTATGTTACTCACTGCTTTATTAGGAGTATGGAAGATAAAACCAAATCTTAAAAAGGGCTGTTAAGAACTGAAACATTCAGTAGCTAATTGTATCATTAAAAAAAAAATCCCATTATCCCCACTCATTTTGTTACTTTTGAAAAGTTCTTTTGTTAAATGCCCTCATTATTTCCCGAAATTAATGAGTTACAGGGAACTGTTATTTGTAACGCATTACTTCAGTTATTTCTAACTCATTACTGTACCTCAGTTATTTGTAACTCATTAGTTCAGTTATTTGTAACTCATTAGTTCAGTTATTTGTAACTCATTACTTCAGTTATTTGTAACTCATTACTTCAGAGTTATTTGTAACTCATTACTGTACCTCATTTATTTGTAACTTATTACTTCAGAATTATTTGTAATTCATTACTTCAGTTATTTGTAACTCATTACTTCAGAGTTATTTGTAACTCATTACTGTACCTCATTTATTTGTAACTTATTACTTCAGAATTATTTGTAATTCATTACTTCAGTTATTTGTAACTCATTACTTCAGAGTTATTTGTAACTCATTACTGTACCTCATTTATTTGTAACTTATTACTTCAGAATTATTTGTAATTCATTACTTCAGTTATTTGTAACTCATTACTTCAGTTCTGCTCTGGTCCTGAATCTCAAACTGCTTATCCAA